AAGATTGTGCACAGTGAAAGTTTTTAAAAAATTATTTCAAACACTGGTCACTGCAAGATTGGAGAAAACATATCCAGGCATTGCATCTTGTTTAGTTTTCTTGCTGTTGACTAGAAAATATGACAGCTTTCCTAAGTAGCATTAGCTACACCTTTTCTTGTAATTTTAAGCAGATATCCACCCAGTCACTGCTCAACCCTCCCTTAGAAGAGAATTATTTAAACTGGAAATTGGATACATTATCTCAAAGACAATAAGTTATTCTGGACAACATGCACCATTTTACTGCCAACTTGCATTACTAACTACTTCAGACTTGCAACAACAAAAAAAAGTTAATGTTTCACCAGATCAATACAGCATGCAAATACTATAATAAAAGTAGACACCACTGAAGCAAAGAAGAGATTTCAAAAGAAATAAATTCATCAGTAAAACATATCCCTTTTTGGGTAAAATATACTAAAGGATCATTTCCTTGCCTTCCTCTTTCAAATTTTAAAGCAGAATTCACAAATACCAAACCTCTGTTAAATACTGAATTTTCAAATTTAGTATCTGCATCTTATAGTCACAATCTAAACTATATTCAAATATTGCTTTAAGGGACACAGTCAGAGTATAAGTGTTCTTCCCTCCCACTGATTTATATAATAGTCTTTCCATCAGGGAGAAAGAAAAAACTGACTACAGTAGAACCTCACAGTTATGAGCAACAGGGTTTCAAACTGACAAGTCAACCACACACCTCATTCGGAACCGGAAGTACGCAATCAGGCAGCAGAGACAAAAAACAGTACAGTACTGTGTTAAATGTAAGTACTAAAAGAAAATAAAGGGAAAGCAGCATTTTTCTCTGCATAATAAAGTTTCAAAGCGCTATTAAGTCAATGTTCAGGTGTAAATTTTTGAAAGAACCACCATAAATGTTTTGTTCAGTTACAAACAACCACCATTCCCGAGGTGTTAGTAACTCTGAGGTTCTATTGTATACAAAGTGCTGTCACAAATTACCTATAAACTGTAAACAAAGTGAATATATAGAGGGTTTTTTTTAAACCACACTTCTTAGCAAGCCACAGGTGCTATTTGCAACAACAGAGGTACAATGTTTTCAAACAAATGTGGTCATCAAGCTGATTGTTTCATTTTAATAAAAACATAAAACCTCCATTAATAATCTTACCCTGTGAAACAAATAGGTGTGGGACATTCTTTTGTTTTAAATAATGTGGAATTGGAGTATTCCATGTTAGTTTGTTTATTTACTGAGCACAAAGAAATACGCATCCTCTGTCTTTGCCTCAAAAAGTTTACAATCTAAGTGACACAACACAATGAAGGGAAAACAAAACAGTAGAGTGGGGAAGGAGAGAAAGTAAACACAGCAACAAGATTACATAATTACTCAACAAAAGCGTATGTATGAATTCCTTATGCTGTTAGGTCCCAGGTTCAATACCCACAGGCTAGTTGTAACCCAAAAACAAAACTTCTACTCCTCAAGCCAAAGGACCAGGTCTGTTAACTGAGGCTATGTCTACACTGCAGCTTATGTCAGCATAATATATGTCACTCAGGGGTGTGAATAAACTACCCCCTCCCGCCCCCACAAGCAACAGTAAATTACATTGACAGCTACCGCCACTCTGGCAGGGGCTGGAGTAGCCAAGCTAAGCTGCTGTAAACTCTCTAGTGTAGCTGTAGCCTCAGAAAGTAACAAGATTCAACACCTCTCTCTTAATATCTATGTGTCTAGTCTCTCTACTAGAGGGGCACAAAAAGCCACATTGTGTTAGCATTACAATATAGGTGGGTTTTAAGAAGGACTCTGAAGGAGAAGAGGGATGCGGATTTGTACTGGATCAGTTTAAGGAAGGGAAGGCAAGGCAAGGCACAGAAAAACAGTAAAGATGATTGTGGGAGAAGCAGATGAATGGGGCATCCAGGTTTGTTATCATTAGTGGAGCAGAGAAGTCAGGGCCAACATGATAAGAAACAAAGTTGGATAAGCAGACAGAGGGAATTATGTAGAGTCTCAAAGACCAGGACAAGAAGCTTAAACTGAAATGTGATAGACTAGACAGAGCCAGTGGAGAGATCCATAGAGGGAGGAGAATTACATGGTCAGATTTTAAAATAAACATTTTCACTTACACTACTTTGTCATATCTCCCTGCTGAATGAGAAGTCACATGTTAAAGTGCCTTCAGACATTTCCAGTTTAATGAGAATTATGAAAACAAGAACAGCAAAAGATAAAAGAAGCAGATGAACATCCAACCTGAAGCCTGCTAATACAACAAATACCCCCCCCCGCCCTTGCACAACAGATTAGAAAGTGTCCCAAACTGAAACAAATTTAACTGAAAACACTTAAGCACTTGAATAACTGTAGTCATGGAGTAATCATATTGATTTCTAACTTACTCATCAATTTAAGTGTTTTCACAATCAGGGCCTAAATACATACCAAGTTTTTCTAGTATGAACTCTTCAGAAATTTAAAATATTCTATAAAGGATTTGGCCTTTTAAGAACATCTTGAATTTAGCACAAAATATTTTTTTAAATAAAACATTCTGTGCGAATTAACTTGTAAAATATTTTTTTCTGAATATAATGAAAGATTTGACAAACACCAACGAAAGCAGAAGGTACAAGATACTATAATGTATCTACTACACTGCCAGAAAAGAAATAAGTCAGCTAATGCTAATTCAACCCAGAAACCTGTGACAGTTAAGGATCAATTTGCAGTATAGTCACAGTATGTAATAGGAATAACAAATACAGGATGAAACCTTTTGATGCAATCTCTCAACTCATCAAATCTAGGTCCCAATATTTAAGAGAGAGAGAGAGAAGTCTAATTTTCAGCATCTGTCCTAGAATTTCTAAGTCTTACATTTGTACTAGTAAGAGAGGCATAACATTTGTGTATAGAAATGTACAATATACTAGGTGAGAATCAACATGGTTTCACACAATAAGTCACGTTATAAAACATTTTTTAAATTAAAAACATTGGTCTAGATAGTGGTAAACAATAGATTTAATACTCTATTTGGATTTTCGGAATGCTTTTGAAACAGTTCCACATGATGGATTACTGTATCAGCTCTAAGTATCAGCTACGCAATTAACAGATTAGTAATTAAAAACAGAAGGTTAAAATTAAAATTGTGTATTCTTTGCAGACGGCTGTAAGTAGCAATATCTTACTAGAATGCAGGTCCTAATATAGAACCCTGTATTTTTATTATTTACATAAAGTTATGACATGTAAGAATTAAATAGGGAGGAAAAATTAAAATGGAGGAATGGTTAAGTCTCAGAAAGATATAGCTGTGTACAAAATAATTCTGATTGACTAGGCAAATGATTAAAGGGGTACATTATTAAACATTATGTGTCACAATGGAGTAATATTCTTGAATAGAAACAAGACCCAAACAAGCAGTTTGAGAAAAGGGGTTGAACTGATAGACCCAAGATTCAAATTCTTAGTACAGTATGCAGCAATAATACAAAGTTGGCTTATATCAAGAGGAACATGTGATTAGGCTTGGCAGAATTTTCATAATTTTGACAGATATTATCAATGTTTATGTTTAAGCTTTTTTATTAAAAATTTCAGTTGTGCAAAATGATGGGTTTTAAGCATTTTTTCCAATTTATAGCTATTTAAGTTTTCACAGTTGCAACAAGGGGGGGCGAAAATTATTATTTAATGACACTAGATGTTAAGATTTAAGAAGTTAACGCTTCAGAACCTTTACAAACACAAACTATCAACATCACATGTTAACATATACAAATCAACCTCTAAGATGATCTCAAGCAGCATTTTTCTTTCGATTACTATTGATGAAAATGTTTTTCATTGGTTTGTGTGGGTATGGAGAAATTGACGCTTACTGGTAAAAAAACAAAGCCTGCCAAGCCTACATACGATAAATGCCAGAAAATACTGTGCAACGGCAAGCTCTTGCCTATCTAAAGTATGACGACACCTGGATTATTTAGTCCCGAGAGAGGAGAACGAGACAACACAAATACTGAAAACTAGCAGAGGGTTATTGGGAAACCAAACTCGCTCTGTTTGAGGGCGCAGGGCTAAGGGAGGCACCATCCGCTCCAGGAAACGTGCAGTCACCTCTCGGAGAGCTGAGCACCCCTCAGGGCGAGCAGACACCCGGGCGCATCACGACAGAAACACCTGACCCCGCTCCCCCCCCGGTCACTAGCGCGCATCTGACAGCGCGTTGTGAGGCGTCAGTACCGAACAGCCCCGCGAGCCATGGGGGGGGAGGTTACCGCCAGGGGCTAGCCCCATGCCCCGCTCCACCAAGGGGGCGGGCGGAAGCGGCCCTGGCCGGCGCGGGCTCGGAGCAGCCGGCGAGGACAGGTTCGCTCCAAGCCGGCGAGCCCACTGCGGTTCCCGGGGCCGAGTGGGACAAGACAAGCCCAGCCCCCCCCTCACCATTCTCCTCAGGGTCGGGCTGGGTCTCGGCGCCGGCTCTGGCTCTCCTCGGGCCGGGCTGCTCCTGCTCGTGCTTCGGCGGTGGCGGGGCCTGTCTCCATCTATCGGGGCTGAGCTCGGCGGCTGCGGGGGGCTGGGCAGGGAGAGGCCGGGAGAGGGCAGCGCTCCAGGGACGAGGAGGAGAGCGGGGCGGCTTGAGCTCGGCTCTGCTCCGGGACCCAACGCTGGCGGCGGCGGTCTTGGCCCGGCGGCTCCTTCTCATAATTGTGCGACTCCCCTAGGCCGAGGGCAGCAGCGCTGCCGCGTCAGCGCGCACCGCCCCCGGGGGGAGGGAGACGCCGGGCTCCCTCCCTCCCTTCCGCCTGAGCTGCCGCTGCCCCCTCCCCCCGCGTCTCTTCGCGCCCCCCCCCCGCCCCTGCCCAGCCCCTCAGACTCTCCGCACTGCCCCCCCCCTGCCCGGGCCGCAGGGCTAAGCTCGGCTCGGGCCAGGGTCACCTGAGGGACAAAGACCCACCATGAGGGAAACGCTGCTGCAGCAAATCTGCCCCGCTGCCCTGCCGCGTGACTAACTCTCCGGGCGCTCGGAGCCAACGTCGCTCATTTCCACTGGGGAAAGTGCTGGGGCACGACGGGCCTTGGGACTAGACTGTGGGTCATTTGAAAGACGCGCCTCGGCTCCAAGACGGAGAATGTTGTTCCGTGCGTGCCGCGGAGACAGCTGTAGATGTTCCCAAGCAGCCGCCTCTGCCCAACTCAATGTCCGTGGTGACCCTGACAGCGAGGATCGCAGCCCACCTCTTATCTTCATTCCCAAGAGGGGTTTTCCAGCAGAGAGGACAGATCCCAGCATATGATTGTGGCATGTTGATCTGAGTGTGTTGTGCAGAGTTGCTGTGTATGGGATGAGGAATCATAACAGAATTAGAGATACTTAACAGGTCAGCTGTTCCATCCCCCAGAATTGACACTGCTCGGCCTGCAACACTCAGAAGTTCCCCTGGTTAGTGCAGTTGCCTAAAGCCAGCTGTAGTGAGCCCTCTTATGGGGGGGTGGGGGGGAACCTACAGGGACAGTCCAGCTGGCTTGTACCTTACACTGCTCTTGGAAAGATCAGATGTCAGGTCCCATGTTTCCCCAGTAGCAAGGACTGAGAGTCTAGCTCTCAACTGCTGGAGTGAGGAAATGTCTTGCATCAGCCTTAGCAACTTAACTTACCCTATACAGCATAGCTGGGTCTCAAAGAAGCATTTTAAAACTAAAAAGAAGCTTTTAAAGCTAGCACAGGGATTTGCCAGTTCTTCAACATGGCAACAGTAGGCCCCTCTTAAAGTTTGTTAGAAACCAGTTTAACTGGAACCATATTATTCAAAGGCAAGTCGCTTAACTCCGTTCCTGCTGGGGGCCTACAATGCCTATCTCTTAAAATGTTTAAGATTTTTCATGCAAAAACAGTACTAGCTTTGGGGAATGGGTGAGACGTTTTAGGGCTGATCCCTTGAGGCATCAGTGGCATGCAGAAAGTAGCTGTTCTCAACTCTATTGAAGTTGCTGGGAAATGAGGGTGTTTAGCACCTCAAGGAAGTGATCACTCAGTACATCAAAGAATTAAACCCTAACTGCTGTTTTTCTCAATGTTGATACAAGTGCCTCCATAAAAACCAGTCACTAATATGCACCCAGAAGTTCATAAAGCACAGTACAGTTGGTGTATTTCAAAAGTGAGCGGTGGTATTGCTTATGCTTAGATAAGGGAGAGAATTCTTCATTAACACTATGTTAAAGTGTATGTCACGTGTGTTGGACAAAATTTGCAGAAAAAGCTTATTCAGATGATAAAAAAAAGTGAACGGTACAGAGTTTAAGCATAGAAGTTTCTGGTTATCAGGGAATAACATATAGATTATCGAGGGTGCAAAGTTTGGTTTAAAATCGGGTGGCATAAGGAATACATAATCTGCAATACTATAGTTGGAATTGATCGCTTTTGTCGGTAATAAGCCTTGTCCCATTTGTATTGTAAACTCCTCAGGGCAGGAACCTTGTCTTATAGACAAAAAATAAAACTAGCATACTTTGGAATCTATCTCATTAATTTAAAATAAGCAGAATTTCATTATGGATTTTCATGGTAAATCCTCTGTAACAAATCTCAAACTGGAATAATGTGCAGTTTGTTTCCAGGAGATAGCAAAATTGATTTACTAGGCCCAATGCAAAAACACTGAAGTTATTACAGAAGTAGGGAGAGGAGGGGAATCTCAGTCGGAGTTGCAGCTAGCCGAGAACCAGATTTTGCCACCTTTATGTACAATGTGTGGTACATTTAAATCAGTGTGACTCAGCGTGAGTAAGGATAGAAGATTTGGACCCTAAACACTTAAGCATACCTAAATGTAGTAGAGAAAACAAATCAAAATACTTTTTCAGGAAACTGATTCACATTCCATAAGAAACAAGCTCAGATGTAATTATATGGAACTGATCTGCAGATATTTCCCTGCACTGACACTCTTGTAGAAGGGAATGATTTTTCCATTTAAAGTTCCAGTAACAGAGACAAATATCTGTGAGATTAGCAGTGGATAGCATTGTTGTGACAAATCCAGGGGCTGCAAGCAACAGACAAATTTCTGTAACAGTCACACAAACGGATAGCTGGAACTAACATCCTGGTCCTTCAGCTTCCAAGTCACACATCTCTGCAAGTTGAACTGAAGGATAACCAACTACTAACAGGAGCAGTAGGTCTGATCCTCTCTGTGGGCCAGCCACTTTAGAACATCACTCATTCCTATATGCCAAGTGAGCACATAGTGCTGCACCAAGAACTGGTAGCAAGTTGCAACAGATCTGAATACAAGAAGTGGAAGATTGCACCACCTCAGCTCTTTAGTGCTGCCTCCCCAGCAGAGACAGCTGGGTGACACTGACAAGAATGGTGTCCATTTTATTGTAACCAATATGCTGGGTGAGAAACAACAAAGGGTAGCAGCAGAGGCAATCTTCCAGAGGAGTTTCAAGGGCTTTCCATGGGGAAAAGCAGCAAGAATGTGGGATTCCCACCAATGCTGTAAGTACTTTTGACACAGAGTGCCTCTATTCTGTCTCCTCCTCCTCTTCATATCTCTCTCTCATCTCCACAGGTTATACCAGTCAAGGTTACCAAGTTTTGGTTATGACGATTAGGTCACACTCCTCTTCATAAAGTATCATTTTGGGCTAGTCTGGCTTATTTCCCATGCTTATAGCACTGGAACATAGACTCTTGGGGCTTGATTTAAAGTGCTGAAACCCTAAACTCCATCTAAATGCAAAAGAGGCTCAGGGAGTTCAGCACCTCTGAAAATCAGACCCTTAATCTATGCACATCCATTTATTTCCTCCTTGCTCTTTTCCACCTTATCACTTCGTTAGCCAGAGAGTATTTAGTATGAATGAATGCGCTCCCTTTGTCGGCCTCCTCCTTCCACTTTAAAATCAGCCTAACAAATCTAGACAGCTTTAGCCCAGGAGACTGGCATCTGATGCTGACTTGAAGACAATACAGTCTCCTCTCTCTGCAGAAGGTACAGGTATTTCAATGTGCTGTAAAGCCAAAAGAATCAAGAGGTAGGTAGCTGGAGGCCAAATTAGAACATTGATTGAGACATTCCTGTACAAGCTATCATTTTAGGAGAACATATCTTGAGGCCAGGAATAAACCACATCTTTGTCCTACTGATTCTGCAAAGTTGCAATTAGATTGACAATCTAGCCCTTTGCTAGTTAAACAGTTTGTGATCAGCCGAGAGTAAGATGGGGCAGCTGCTGCTGGAGCAGCTTGGGAAGGAGACTGTAATTAAAGGTGTCAGTCTCCCTTTCTCTTTCACCATTGCTCTGGGGAAGCAGGGTCACCCGTTTGTGCGAGGTAGGGGAATAGCATCTCCACAGAGCCTACTACTCCCCATGCCATGGAACAGATGGTATGAGGTGCAAGGAAGTACCTTGCCCCCTTTAATCCTTTGAGTTTACAAACAGGATAGCCCACAAATCAGTAGAGTTAGTCACCTAGAAAGAGTCAATTGTTCATAGATCATATATGAAATCTTTTGTTTCTATCCCTGATATTCAGACTTCTTTTTTAGATGCAGGTGGTGAGGAGAAATACATTTTCAGGCATTAAAGTAAACTTCAGAATGCTTTAGAAGGTTACACATTTACTAGTTCTAATTAAGGGTTAATGGCTTTCCAACCATAATGCTCGTTAATTTTAGACACCGTTTTTTTCTTCCATGTGGGATGTCCATCGTCACCTGTGAATTTATTCACCTGTGAATAAAGGGAAAATAATTAAACGTCATTTTATATTCCACTAAATTCCCCTTTAACTGATGCAGTCTACTCTTATCATTAAATTCAAAACGGATGCTTTATTCCTTTAAATTAAGGTCTTTTTTCATCTCATTCTTACATCTGAAAAACAAACGAACAACCTGTCACTGACTGTTTATTCTGGGCAATTGTTTATTTTGTAATTACCACGGCTACTAGCGAAGCTGAAATATAGCATCACAGCGATCTAATACTTGCCAGAGATTTAGGAATCTCATGCCTACTAGGATTTACATCTCACTAAACCAGTTGTAACTTGATCTCATTGCAATAAAAAGTGCTAAGAGATAATAAGGAGGCTCTTTAAGAATGCCCCTTGTCCCAGTAATGCAATATAATCAGTAACAGAGCAAGCATACAATATTTGGAAAAAGTTGCTTAACTGCTCTCATGTGCATGCAGAAGAAATACTGAGATTCCCATTGAAAGACAAATGGAAATTTCTTCTTACAATAAAAGAAGTGGGTAATTCATGAAGAAGTCTGGTTTTGGATGCATGACCAGTTATACTTAGTGAGCCTATGGATGTACATTTCAAGTTATTGAAAGTATGTGCTGGTATGCAAGCAGTTAAGCCAAACACAATTGCTAACTGATAAGAAAATCAGGTTAATACCCCAACCAAGGTCAAATAGACTCTGTGTAGAAACATTTTTTCCCCTTATTAGAGTCATAGATGGCAGAAAAGGGTAATTAACGAACCTCATTTACTTTCTTAACAAGGTGGAGTTTCCAAGCCTTCTCCCCCAAGCACATATTTGTCTCTCTCATTTTATAGGTTGGTCACTTTACAATATGGTTTTTATAGGGCACATGGCTCAGTTTCTAGAGGGATACACACATAGAAGGAACAGGAGTACTTGTGGCACCTTAGAGACTAACAAATTTATTAGAGCATAAGCTTTCGTGGACTACAGCCCATTTCTTCGGATGCATATCTGGAACACATAGAAGGATCATTCTGTGATCTTCAGTTAATTCAGTCTGATTATTTCCATTGTAATTCACTTCAGTTACTTTGAGCCTTTTTCAAAGAAGTGTCTGTGAACAACATTTTATCTTCCAATAGTGATATATTGTAAAGATTCCTCTAAAGAGTCCTGCACTTAGGACGGAAGAATACCATGCACTGCTACAGACTAGGGACCGAGTGGCTAGGCAGCAGTTCTTCAGAAAAGGACCTAGGGGTTACAGTGGACGAGAAGCTGGATTTGAGTCAACAGTGTGCCCTTGTTGCCAAGAAGGCTAACGGCATTTTGGGCTATATAAGTATGAGCATTGCCAGCAGATCGAGGGACATAATCATTCCCCTCTATTTGACATTGGTGAGGCCTCATCTGGCGTACTGTGTTCAGTTTTGGGGCCCACACTACAAGAAGGATATGGAAAAATTGGAAAGAGTCCAGGGGAGGACAACAAAAATGATTAGTGGGCCGGAGCACATGATTTATGAGGAGAGGCTGAGGGAACTGGGATTATTTAGTCTGCAGAAGAGAAGAATGAGGGGAGATTTGATAGCTGCTTTCAACTACCTGAAAGGGGGTTCCAAAGAGGATGGATCTAGACTGTT